GCTCTGGGCTGATTCTATACAATAGCAAAGATATATATAACTTAGAGCTAATCACAGGAATAATTATGGGGTATATACAGTTGAATGGGTAATATTGGAATGGATGTTATATTAACAGATAGTGATTTATGTAATGCATTACAAATTAAAGAACAAATCATAGTATAATAAAAGATAGAATTGATCGATCGATCTGTATTCAAGCACACTACGGATTCTGAAGAAGAATATATATATTTACAAAGGGGAAAGTAATTAACAGCAAAGGCAGACCTGGTGTGCACAGATCATTACTGCTAAATCTCAGAATTCAGAGGGAATGTGAACACACATTTTTTTTTTTTTTGAAAAAAATGATCAGCTAGTAACAAAACACAAAACTGACAACTTCATTCAATTTGATCATCTAATTATACAGGCTATGTACATTTAAACCCAACTCTGCAAGGTAAGATTTACATATGCAGAATGGTTATTGTCTCTGGGAGGATCGAATTCTTTTGCAATGGCTAACACATGCCTTGGATGAGAGAGATCTGAATGAATATCTACAGAAGATTCTTGGGGATTTCTAATTACTTGTTGTTTACACAGGGAATAACGATATTCAGGTTAAAATGGGTAACACTATAACTCGAAATATGAACAAGAAAGAATGGATCTACTATCTCTTACAATCGTTAACAACATGTGAAGATTACTCAAGAACAACTTCTTACATTGCAAGGATTACTGTCAACTAGGATCATATCACCATCTGGATCACAAGTGACAACAACAACATCTAATGAGCACACTAGCCACAGAAACGTCTTTCTGCAGTGGCTTGTGGCATCAGCAAGAGATGACATAACTAATTGCAAGTAATCTTTCTTTGCAAAGCGTCCCCTGGGAGGAACGACTACTTGAACAAGTCGCCATTGCAGGGATAGTAGTCTCAGCACCCAGGGTTGTCTGAGGTTTCTCTGAAACCCAAGGTAACTGTACACTATCCTGCGTGCAAGATGTTGCGACTGGATTCCAGACAGGAGTGACAGTCTTACTAGTGCCTGACTGCTCGGCTATGCTAATAAGTAATTCACAGATCTATAAAAACATAATCTGAACTTCACATTCCGCAGTACTGTAACACGTCTCAGATACAGGCTATGACAACAAACACATTGTCTAAGAGCTAAGTATTGTCTCTCAGTCAGTAATGGGATATTGTGACTGTGGAGTGAATCATATTCACTTGAGCTGGCATGATATATTAAGTGAGCAATCAAAAGTAACTGGGACATCTTCTCAGGGAACTTACACAAGGACATAAGAGCAAAAAGGATAAAGAGAATATATAGCACAATAAAGCTTAAATGGGAGAAAATACTTAAGTATTTTGCATAAGTAAAGAAAAATGACAAGTCACACTGTAGAGCAAGGAAAACTCATGGGGAAAAACCCACTCAACTGAATAAGGCAACACTGATAATCAAGAGAAATTGTACTTTACTTAGATCAAATTTTACTCAAATTTACTTTAATTTGAATTAATGGCACAGCGAGTTGTCTTTACTCTCAATTCAATAAAGAAATTCAGCAGTAAATGATGAATCAACCAAAAATTATAAAATGGAATCAATAAATCTTGTGCAAAATTAAAATAGACTGAGAAAGCAATTCTCTAAAAAAATGAAGTGACACACAAAGAATGAAATATTATGCACGGAACACAAGAAAATTGTAAAACTGAAATCACAGAATATTACACTGAAATAAACTGTAGCAATATTGCAAATAACAATAACTAATCAAAAATTACTGCACAACACAACACAACACTACATAAAAAAAATCTGAAAGAAAAAAATTAATGGCAGCACAACATTGCACAAGAGTCATTGCAAAATGAATCAATACTGCAATAATAAAATAGCACACACAAGAAAATGCTGTTTACAAGAAGAACAACAAAAATTATCAGGAATAAACTAATTGAACACTGTAACTCTTAATTGCAACTTAGGAAAACACTGAAACAGAGCAAAAGAATGCTTTACTTTAAAAAAAAAGGCAGCTAAAAACTGCACTAAGAGTGAATTTGCTCATTGAAATATGAATAATATGAATGAAAATAAAGGACATAAAATACAAAACAGAGACAGGTTAACACTTACAATAGTGCAGGAACACAAACATCAATATGCACAATACTTAGCACACTGAGTGTACGTGGTTCTGTCCCCAGTATAGGTGGAAATAATAGGCATGAATCTTTACACCTACTCTCACTGTTCACCTAGCAGCAAGTAGGTACCTGGTGTGGGTCGCACCCTGGGGGACAAGTTTGAAGGACCCCAATGGGTGGCTAGCCTTCCGGGATAAAAATCCAAAGGAGGGAAGCCTTCATAACTACAGGGAAAGAAAGTTAAGAGAGGACTTAATGAGAAGCCTCAGTTGAGCACAGAACTGGACCCTCTGTGCGGAGATTCTGCAGCCAGGCGGCGATCATCATCCTCGCGGTCCGGTCTGTGACCAGGCCTCGTGGTGAATCAGAGTCTGATCAACCAGGCTGTTGGCCTGATCAACAAGGCTGTTACTTTTGGCAGCACCTGATCAATCAGACTGATACTGTTAACCGACCGCAAACCGATGTACGAACCACAGCCTGGCTGGTCAGGTACTGAAATTAGGTGTCTGTCCAGCGCCTTCTTGAAGACAGCCAGGGGTCTGTTTGTAATCCCGATTATGTATGCTGGGAAGCAGTTGAACAGTCTTGGGCCCTGGCACTTACTGTGTTGTCTCTTAGCGTTCTCGTGGCGCCCCTGCTTTTCATTGGGGGAGGGATGTTGCATCTCCTGCCCAGTCTTTTGCTTTCGTAGGGAGTGATTTTCGTTTGCAAATTTGGGACTAGTCCATCTAGGATTCTCCAAGTGTATATTATCATGTGTCTTTCTCGCCTGCGCTCCAGGAAGTACAAAGCAAGGGGCTTCAACCATTCTGAGAGTAAGAATAATCTGCCTTCCCACCCTTGGTATGACACTGGGAACATCACTCATTATTCTCCTGTTAACCTGGGTCCTGGCTACCACTCTCCCCCATATAATGCATACATCCATTTCACGATTTCTTCTCCATATCCTTGCCGAATCATAGATACCCCGGCAAGTCAAGGGAGAACGAAACACCTCTTTCCTACCCAGCATCACCGGCACGCAGTTATGAATCAGGAATAACTTGCCAGTAAGTCTTCCTGGGATACAAACAAGCCCTACCTACCATCAATACGACGACATTTATCTTTGCATACATACGGGGTGTAAAACTATTAACAGGTTACAATCTATTCAGATGCGACAGAGTAAAGAGGCAACAAGGGAAGGTTGGCCTATATTTCAAAGGGTCGTTCATTTGTTCGGAACTACTAAACACTTCAAATGATGTAGTTGAAGTTTAGGCAGTAAAGACCGAAAACCAAAACCTTGTCATTGTGGATGTATATAAGCCTCCAGATGCTACTTCCAAACAATTCCATGAGCCGTTTCGTAAAATTGGCCACTGTCTGGAAAATCTCCCAAGCCCTGCCCCAAACATCTTGCTGCTGGTTGATTTCACTCCACATGAAAGCAAAAGACTGGGCAGGAGATGCAACATCCCCCCAATGAAAAGCAGGGGCGCCACGAGTACGCTAAGAGACAGCACAATAAGTGTCAGGGGCCTCATCCATAAGGAATATTACCGATAGACCACTGGATGTCTTCAAGAAGGCACTGGACAGGCACCTACAAAGCAGCACCTGATCAGCCGTGCTGAGGTTAATAAGATAAGATTTTCTTCGGATTTTTAACCCAGGAGGGTTAGCCACCCAGGATAACCCAAGAAAGTCAGTGCGTCATCGAGGACTGTCTGACTTATTTCCATTGGGGTCCTCAATCTTGTCACCCAGGATGCGACCCACACCAGTCGACTAACACCCAGTTACCAATTTTCTGCTAGGTGAACATGACAACTGGTGTAAGGATACACTTCGAAATGTTTCCACCCCACCGGGAATCGAACCCGGGACCTCCGTGAGTGAAGCGAGAGCTTTGGCCACCAGGCCACCGGGGAATATGTCGCTCTGGGTGCAGCCAACAGTAACAACCTGGTTGATGAGACCCTGATAGACCAGGAGGCCTGGTCACAGACCGGGCCGGGTTGGCGTTGATCCCTGATACCCTCTTCAGGTGTTCTCCAGGTAAATCCAGTGTTACCACCCGGTCCACTACACAACATACATTCCCAGTGTGACCACCCTGTCCACTACACAACATACACGCCTAGTGTGACCACCCAGTCCACTACACAACATACATTCCCAGTGTGACCACCCAGTCCACTACACAACATACACGCCCAGTGTGACCACCCGGTCCACTACACAACATACACGCCCAGTGTGACCATCCGGTCCACTACACAACATACACGCCCAGTGTGACCATCCGGTCCACTACACAACATACACGCCCAGTGTGACCATCCGGTCCACTACACAACATACACGCCCAGTGTGACCATCCGGTCCACTACACAACATACACGCCCAGTGTGACCATCCGGTCCACTACACAACATACACGCCAGTGTGGACCACCCGGTCCACTACACAACATACACGCCCAGTGTGACCACCCGGTCCACTACACAACATACACGCCCAGTGTAACCACCCGGTCCACTACATTGATACTGAACTATTTACATGTTTATATCAGGCTGCAGTTGTAGTGAGTTATTTATGCAGTTGTAGATACTGTAACAAATTTATCAAATGAAAGTTTAGGCATAGGTCTTTTACGTGTTTTAATATTATGTATTCAACTTGCCTTTAATACTGTGGGAGGCAGAATAAACTTATGGAATTTAAACTTGTTGAGAAGAGGAGAGTGCGCATGTGGGCTGTGTTGTGGGGGGGGGGGTTGACGGTTGTTGCTATATAAAGATGGTTGTTGCTTGCTGCTTGTCAGTGTGACTTCCTCTCTCTAGCAGGACCACCACCTGGACCACTCTCACCTGTCACTGGGACCATCACTCTCCAGTGTAGCAGGACCACCTCCTGGACCACTCTCACCTGTCACTGGGACCATCACTCTCCAGTGTAGCAGGACCACCACCTGGACCACTCTCACCTGTCACTGGGACCATCACTCTCCAGTGATACTAGTACTAGTACTGTCTATCAGGCCATCATTGTCAACTGTCACCATCACTGTCAACTACTATACCTTGGTAACAAGTAACTTTGGGACGAAGTTAACGACATTATTGTGTTTAGTAGAAACAACTGTTATACAAGGTAAGGAAATGCCACATTTTATAAGCTAATTTCGTTCTGCCACAAGACTAGACAGACATTACCTAACCTAATCCCAGTCACCACCGTCTCTTATTATTCTATTTCAACCATTGTTACCATAAACAGCCCTTTCATCTAATGTAAATTTATAGTAACGCTTTACAGAGTCATTATTCATCATTATGAACACATCCTCCTGATTATTACCTTGCATTTCGGCTATAATCTACGACAGTGTGTCTCTAAATCTGAAGTGTCTTTTCCTGTGCTCCTCTTCCCAATTTTTCAGCTCTCACATTAACATTATTTGCTATATATATATATATATTATATATAATATATATATAATAATATATATATATATATATATAAAATATATATATATATATATATATAATATAGCAGCCGGATTGATGGGATAAGATAGAAATGTTAAAAGCAGGTGGGGATATAGTTTTGGAGTGGTTGGTGCAATTATTTAATAAATGTATAGAAGAGGGTAAAGTACCTAGGGATTGGCAGAGAGCATGCATAGTTCCTTTGTATAAAGGCAAAGGGATAAAAGAGAGTGCAAAAATTATAGGGGATAAGTCTGTTGAGTATACCTGTAAAGTGTATGGTAGAGTTAAAATTGAAAGAATTAAGAGTAAGACGGAGAATAGGATAGCAGATGAACAAGGAGGCTTTAGGAAAGGTAGAGGTGTGTGGACCAGGTGTTTACAGTGAAACATATAAGTGAACAGTATTTAGATAAGGCTAAAGAGGTCTTTGTGGCATTTATGGATTTGGAAAAGGCGTATGACGGGTGGATAGGGGGGCAATGTGGCAGATGTTGCAAGTGTATGGTGTAGGAGGTAGGTTACTGAAAGCAGTGAAGAGTTTTTTACGAGGATAGTGAGGCTCAAATTAGAGTATGTAGGAAAGAAGGAAATTTTTTCCCGTAAAAGTAGGCCTTAGACAAGGATTGTGATGTCACCGTGGTTGTTTAATATATTATAGATGGGGTTGTAAGAGAAGTAAATGCGAGGGTCTTTGGCAAGAGGCGTGGAGTTAAAAGATAAAGAATCACACACAAGTGGGGGTTGTCCAGCTGCTCTTTGCTGATGACACTGTGCTCTTGGGAGATTCTGAAGAGAAGTTGCAGAGATTGGTGGATGAATTTGGTAGGGGGTGCAAAAGAAGAAATTAAAGGGAATACAGGTAAGAGTAAGGTTATGAGGATAACAAAAAGATTAGGTGATGAAAAAATTGGATATCAGATTGGGGGAGAGAGTATGGAGGATGTGACGTATTCAGATATTTGAGAGTGGACGTGTCAGCGGATGGGTCTATGAAAGATGAGGTGAATCATAGAATTGATGAGGGAAAAAGAGTGAGTGGTGCACTTAGGAGTCTGTGGAGACAAAGAACTTTGTCCTTGGAGGCAAAGAGGGGAATGTATGAGAGTATAGTTTTACCAACGCTCTTATATGGGGTGAAGCGTGGTGATGAATGTTGCAGCGAGGAGAAGGCTGGAGGCAGTGGCAATGTCATGTCTGAGGCAATGTGTGGTGTGAATATAATGCAGAGAATTCGTATTTTTGGAAGTTAGGAGGAGGTGCAGGATTACCAAAACTGTTGTCCAGAGGCTGAGGAAGGGTTGTTGAGGTGGTTCGGACATGTAGAGAGAATGGAGCGAAACAGAATGACTTCAAGAGTGTATCAGTCTGTAGTGGAAGGAAGGCGGGGTAGGGGTCGGCCTAGGAAAGGTTGGAGGAGGGGGTAAAGGAGGTTTTGTGTGTGAGGGGCTTGGACTTCCACAGGCATGCGTGAGCGTGTTTGATAGAGTGAATGGAGACAAATGGTTTTTAATACTTGACGTGCTGTTGGAGTGTGAGCAAAGTAACATTTATGAAGGGATTCAGGAAACCGGCAGGCCGGACTTGAGTCCTGGAGATGGGAAGTACAGTGCTTGCACTCTGAAGGAGGTGTTAATGTTGCAGTTTAAAACTGTAGTGTAAAGCACCCTTCTGGCAAGACAGTGATGGAGTGAATGATGGTGAAAGATATATATATATATATATATACATATATATATATATATATATCTGTAATATATATATATATATATATAACCCACGCCCCCACCCGCGCCCCCCGCGCCCCCGACCGTCGCGCCGACCCACCAAACCCTCGACGCACCCGCCCGTCGCGCCCTTCGCGCCCGCCCCTCGCGCCCCGCCCACGCCTTCTGCTGCGCCTTCTGCAGCGTCGTCCGGATCGCCCCCGCACCCTGAATTTTTTTCCGATTTTTTTCAATTTTTTTTTGAATTTCATTTTCTTATGATCTCCACTTCCTAGAATCAAGTTTTTTGGATTGCCCCTCCCACTTTCACCCCCATCCCAATTTCATTTTCTTATGATCTCCTTGGATGAAGTTTTTTTTTCTCGATAATACCAAGACTCCATCTCCTCGGATCAAGTTTTTCTCGATATCAAAGACTCTAATTCCTCGGATCAAGGTTTTCTCGATAATACAAAGACTCTACTTCCTTGGATCAGGTTTTTTGGATTCCCCCCCCCCCCACTTTCACCCCCACCCCAAATTTTTTCGATTTTTTTTTCTCGATATTACAAAGAATCCATCTCCTTGGACCAAGCTTTTGGATTCCCCCCTCTGGGGGTAAGCATTCAAATGAACTCCTCCTATGAGGCATGGTGCTCTCTCTTACTACAGGTCTAAACAAGTGTGACGTCAGTATTCCTCTCATTAATGTGTTTACTCGGCGGTCAGTGACGTCACGTGATGACCTCACACATACAGGCTGAATCTTGTCGACTTCCCCCTATGTCAGTGACGTCACACACACACAGGTTGAATCATGTCGACTTACCCCTACACATTTCATATACAACATAGGGAAAACATTTTCACTCTTACCCGGATAACCCAATAATTTCACATTTTTTTTCGTTAATACACACAACAATCCACAATTTCTTTACAACACAAGTCTAGACACTTTTTCACGTTTTAACTATTTCATCTCAGGTCACTCCCCCACGAAGTAACCTTCTCCCCACCCTCCCGAACCCTCACACTCCAACCAACACCTCACAATTTTCACTCATAACCCCCAATTTTTCTCGTTTTAACTATTTCATCAGAAAGTCACCACAACACTTATAACCACTTTTCGATAAATTCACTAGTCACAATTTTACATATTACAAGTTAATACGCACACACACCTCACTTTACTTTGAACACCTTCAAAACACTCTCATAAATTATTTGAATACTCACAAAATACCTTTAAAACATTTCCAAACAACACCAAAAACACTTCCAATACAACATTTTGAATACTCCCAAATAAGATTTAAACAGCTCTAATTTATCTACACTTACACATTTCATTAAATTAAAAACTCATCCCCCCAAACTCCTCCCTCAGTCTCCAACTTCACAACATTATCACAAAAACAAAACTCAAACACTTTACTTTGAACATCACCAAAAAACACCATCAATTCCCTTTTAAAATACTCCAAAAACATCATTCGAACACCCCCAAAATCACCTCTGAATACTCTCAGAACACCTTCATAAGTACTCTTGCACATCATTTGAACACCTTCAAAAACACCTTTGAACATTTCCAAACAACACTGAAACACTTCCAAAACACCACCAAAATCACCAAAAACAAAGATCAACACCCACATCCCACACACCCACAACCCACAACACCCCAACCCACAACACCCACATCCCACAATTTTTTTCTCGCTTTAACTAATTTCATCAGAAAAAGTCACATCAACAACCCACTTATAACACCTTTTTTCGGTATCTCTAGTTCGACAACAACACCCACAACACCCACATCCCACAACACCCACAACCCACTCACCCACAACCCCACAACACACACAACCCACATCCCCCCACACCCCACAACACACACAACCCACCCACAACACCCACAACCACAATTTTTTCTCTTTTTATCTAATTTCATCAGAAAAAAGTCACAAAAACAACAACCCCAACTTATAATCACACCTTTGAATAACCTCAAAACACCATTTAGTACTCCCAAATACCCCAAATGAATACTACTAAAAAAACCACTGAATACACTCAAAACACCACCAAAATCACCATAAACTAAGATCAACACCCACATCCCACAACACCCACAACCCACAACACCCACATCCCACATCACCCACAACCCACACAACCAAAAACCCCACAATTTTTTTCTCTTTTTTAACTAATTTCATCAGAAAAAGTAACAAAAACAACCCACTTATATCATCTTTTTTTGGTATCTCTAGTTCGACTACATTACCCACAACCCTCATCAATTACCAATTTATTCACAATTTTTTCCCCTTCTTTTTACTGAATCTTAAATGTAATACACTTTCCTCTTTACTTTACTAAAATTCAAATAAAATCCTCTCCATACCCATGTCCTTGTATCCACATAAATTGATATTATACTCGCATCAACTAATCTCACTACCCAACTACTGCGACATGTTTCAACACCCTCCATTCTTTTCCAATATATCATAACTTTTCAATTCTATAATATCTTTTTAAAATTTTCCCACACATTACCTTTATTTTCAGTAAAATCTCCCCATATTTCATTAAACTTCTAATACAACCCTCCCCATACCCGTCTCCATCTCACCCACATTTCTTCACATCCACTCACCCATCTCCCAACACACCTAACCTAACTTATCCTAACCTAACCTAACCTGACCTAACCTAACCTAACCTATCCTAACCTAACCTAACCTAGCCTAACCTAACCGAACCTAACCTAACCAAACCTAATCTATCTTAACCTAACATAACCTAACCTAACTTAACCTAACCTAATCTAACCTATCCTAACCTAGCCTAACCTAACCTAACCTAACCTAGCCTAACTTATCCTAACCTAGCCTAACCTAACCGAACCTAACCTAACCTAACCTAAACCTAACCTAACCTAACCTAATGCCTTACCCCAAAGTATTGCGTCATGATTTTTGTACACCCCTTCCCCCCTCCGACGACGCCATGAAATGCGGTTCACATCCAAGGTAGAAAATCACATAATCATCTCCTTACCGAACACCTGCGTCAACTCAGGGCAGACAGACGCCATGAAATGGTGTTCACATCCAAGGTAGATTTAAGATAATCATCTCTTTCCAGACCAACTGGGTCCTCTTGTGCTAAAATTTGGAGAGGTCACAGGGCTGACAGACACCATGAAATTAACTTAAATGAGATATAACATTTGTATTCTACCTCACCTAACCTAACCTAACCTAACCGAAACTAACCGAACCTAACCAAACCTAACCTAACCTAACCTAACCTAACCTTACCTAACCTAACCTAACTTATCCTAACCTAACCTAACCTAACCTAACCTAACCTAACTCAAATACACTAAAATCACTGTAACCATGATATTCCACAAACTCTATGACCAAAAACACACACACACACACACACACACACACACACCCCCACTTACTTTGAACACCTTCAAAACACCTCCATACATCATTTGAGACCACCTTTTCCCCAATATCTCTCATCCACAACCTTTATCATCTCACTACAGAACAACCCCAAGATTACTTCGAACACTCTCATAAATCATTTGAATACTCACATAAACACCTTTGAACATTTTTCCAACAAAAACTGGAAGCACTTCCAAAATATCGTTTTTGATTACCCCCCAAATAAGATTTATCATCTCTAATTTATCTACACTTACACATTTCATTAACTGAAATTAAAAACACAAACCACCATACTACTCCCTCAGTCTCCAGACTTGACAACATTAAACACAAAAACTAACTCAACACTTATGACATGAGACATTACCATATCTAACACACTGACTAACTTTGAACCAACTCTGAACACCACTGATCATCTTCAAGAAATACTCTGCACATCATTTGAACACCTTCAAAAAACACCATCAAACACCTCCGAATACTCCCAAAACACTACTGATTACTACCAAATCACCACTGAATACTACCAAATCACAGTCAAAATCACCAGAAACTAAGTTTAACATCACCATCCAACATCCTTTTTATACTCAAATCACTATAACCAAGAACTCCCTCCCCATTTGGCGCATAAAAAAAAAAGCATGAACACAAACCTAATACGCAAACACTTAGTACATGATCACCATCAACTGAAAACATATCTTGTACACACACATAATCTAAGATAACCACCAACTACAATCACCCATGTTCACTTACCTCAAAAATCACTAATATCACAGAAAACACTCATTTTTTAAAACATTTCACAAAAAAATCATATTTGACAATATCTAAGCGCACTCACCTCACTAAACCCCCAACACACGATGTCAACACCTCACAGACCGACGAGCTCACCTCCAGTGACGTCACACTCCCATTGTGTTACTCGTGCTTGGTAACATCACAAAACCCCAAACCCCCCTTGTTTCAACCTGTTGTACCCTACATTACTAAGAACACTATATCCAAGACGATTACCAGATTATGACCCCACCACCAAGATCACAAAAACACACATTTTTTTATAATTATTCACAACAAAAATCACGATCACCAATTCATATCATGTTTACCGTCATCTATCAACACTCATCACAAAGAACATCAAAATCTAAGATCATGCATCTCAAAACTACTATGAACACTGAAACACTTATTTTTTAAACATTCGCACAAAAATAAGACATACACAAAAATACCACAACACTTCCACCATCTATAACATAACATGAGCACTATAACATATCACTCTCACAAAAAAAAAAATAATACACAGACAACCCACATCTTATACATTTTAATCACAAATTTAAGACATGAGACATACACACCAAATCTAAGACATTCACCTCCAACTAAGACATACACATCTTAACTAAGACACCGCAATATGTCAAGTATAGGTTTTTGTCTTAGTTAAGATGTGTATGTCTTAGTTGGAGGTGAATGTCTTAGATTTGGTGTGTAGTCTCATGTCTTAAATTTGTGATTGAAATGTATAAGATGTGGGTGTCTGGGGTATTATTTTTTTTTTGTGAGAGTGATATGTTATAGTGCTCATGTTATGTTATAGATGTTGGTGGAAGTGTTTGTGGTATTTTTGTGTATGTCCCTTTTTTTTGTCGAATGTTTAAAAAATAAGTGTTTTCAGTGATCATAGTAGTTTTGAGATGCATGATCTTAGATTTTTGGTGTTCTTGGTGATGAGTGTTGATAGATGACGGTTTAAAAATTTATATAGAATTGGTGATCGTGATTTTTGTGTGAATAATTATAAAAAATGGTTTTCTGTGACTTGGTGGTGGGGTCAAAATCTGGTAATCTCCCTTGGATATAGTGTTCTTAATAATTTAGGTAAAAACAGGTTTTAAACAAGGTGGGGGTTTTGGGGGTGATGTTAAACCCAAGCACCAAGTAACACAATGGGAGTGGTGAGCATTGGAGTGAGCTCGTCGTGTCCTGTTGGAGGTGTGCCATCGTGTGTTGGTGGTAGTGAGGTGAGTGCGCTTAGATATTGTAAATATGAATTTTTTTTTGTGTGAAATGTTTATAAAAATGAGTGTTTTTTTGTGATATTAGTGATTTTTGAGGTAAGTGAACATGGGTGATTTTTAATTGGTGGTTGTCTTAATATGTGTGTGTACAAGATAAAGTTTTCAGTTGACGGTGATCATGTACTAAGTGTTTGCGTATTAGGTTTGTGTTCATGCTTTTTTTTTATGAGCTAAATGGGGAGGGAGTTCTTGGTTATAGTGATTTGAGGGGATTTCTATAAAAAGGATATTGGATGGTGATGTTAAACTTAGTTTCTGGTGATTTTGACTGTGATTTGGTAGTATTCAGTGGTGATTTGGTAGTAATCAGTAGTGTTTTGGGAGTATTCGGAGGTGTTTGATGGTGTTTTTTGAAGGTGTTCAAATGATGTGCAGAGTACTTTTTGAAGAAGATCAGTGGTGTTCAGAGTTGGTTCAAAGTTAGTCAGTGTGTTAGATATGGTAATGTCTCATGTCATAAGTGTCTGAGTTAGACACTACCGTCAACAACTACCATCACATCTGTATGCTGATGTTTTAACGCTCCAGTCAACATCTACTACCACATCTGCATGTTGTGGTTTGTATACTCTAGTTAACTTATGAAATACTTGGTGTGTTATTGTGTCTAATTCCTAACCTTGTCGACAATGTGTACCTTTACTGTAATAACACTGCTGTCAACACTCTCATCTTGGAATGCGATGTCAATTATTTACCCTGTTGGCCGATAAACCAGCAGAATGTGTCTGCCAAATGAAACTTCCACGGAGTTCTCCTGCCATTAACAGGTGTGTTAACAGACATTCTCTCAGCATTCCTAACCAATAAAATACTAAAAACATTAACTCGCTAGTTATCTTTTCATGATCAATATCCAACACCTGGGTAACTTTCTCGCCTGAACAGGGCTTTCAGTCGAATACAGGTGAAAACAACTCTATTATTGTTTTCAGTTGTTTTCACCTGTATTAGACAGAAGAAGTCTTTCAGGCGAAACTTTAAGATAATAAATTTACCCAAGTGTTGTAAATACGTCATATTGATGACTGTGTCAGTACTGTCAGTAGTGCCAGTACTGTCAGTAGTGCCAGTACTGTGTCAGTACTGTCAGTAGTGCCAGTACTGCCAGTACTGCCAGTACTGTGTCAGTACTGTCAGTAGTGTCAGTACTGTGTCAGTAGTGTCAGTAGTGCCAGTACTGTCAGTAGTGTCAGTACTGTGTCAGTACTGTGTCAGTAGTGCCAGTAGTGTCAGTAGTGTCAGTAGTGTCAGTAGTGTCAGTAGTGCCAGTACTGTCAGTAGTGTCAGTAGTGCCAGTACTGTCAGTAGTGTCAGTACTGTGTCAGTAGTGTCAGTAGTGTCAGTACTGTCAGTAGTGTCAGTAGTGCAGTCTGTCAGTAGTGTCAGTAGTGTCAGTACTGTCAGTAGTGTCAGTACTGTGTCAGTAGTGTCAGTAGTGTCAGTAGTGCCAGTACTGTCAGTAGTGTCAGTAGTGCCAGTACTGTCAGTAGTGTCAGTACTGTGTCAGTAGTGCCAGTAGTGTCAGTAGTGTCAGTAGTGTCAGTAGTGCCAGTACTGTCAGTAGTGTCAGTAGTGCCAGTACTGTCAGTAGTGTCAGTACTGTGTCAGTAGTGTCAGTAGTGTCAGTAGTGTCAGTAGTGTCAGTAGTGCCAGTACTGTCAGTAGTGCCAGTAGTGTCAGTACTGTACCACTCAGTATCACACTATGCTTTTGGATTTTACATTTTTTGAGTACAGTGTAGTAATCTTTTTTTTTTACCTTAAAAATGTGTGTTGATGTGGTTCTCCTCACTCAACAGTACCCTCACATAGAAGAGTTGCTCTTCATCCAAGGAACTGGATCTACCCCTCCTTCCTAGGATCAACCACGATTACCCTGCCCTCCTTCCGAAGGCTGTATAAAACTCATACGGCTTTAGCGCTTCTGGTGAATATTATTAATAATTAATAATAATGCGAAAATTGTCTTTCTTCATATTTAGACTGATCAAGATTTTTTCCTGACTAAAATGATTTCTGAAAATGTCACTCATAACAAAAATGAATATATGAATAATTAAGAGACCAACCAGGTGACTCACGGCAGGTGACTGACTCACGGCAGGTGACTGACTCACGACAGGTGACTGACTCACGACAGGTGACTGACTCACGACAGGTGACTGACTCACGCCATGTGACTGACTCACGCCATGTGACTGACTCACGCCAGGTGACTGACTCACGCCATGTGACTGACTCACGCCAGGTGACTGACTCACGCCATGTGACTGACTCACGCAGGTGACTGACTCACGCAGGTGACTGACTCACGCCAGGTGACTGACTCACGCCATGTGACTGACTCACGCCAGGTGACTGACTCACGCCAGGTGACTGACTCACGCCAGGTGACTGACTCACGCCAGGCGACTGACTCACGCCAGGAGACTGACTCACGCCAGGTGACTGACTCACGCCAGGTGACTGACTCACGCCAGGTGACTGACTCACGCCAGGTGACTGACTCACGCCAGGTGACTGACTCACGACAGGTGACTGACTCACGCCAGGTGACTGACTCACGACAGGTGACTGACTCACGCCAGGTGACTGACTCACGCCAGGTGACTGACTCACGCCATGTGACTGACTCACGGCAGGTGACTGACTCACGCCAGGTGTTCACCTCACTCTAGGCCACGTTTCTAGGAACAATATTTGTGGGTTAAGCGCTTAGTTATAATAATAATAATAATAATAATAATAATCTAGCAAGAAGTAAGAGTAGATGACCAATAATATTGAAAAAATTCCCATCATCCTGGATCCAAAATCCTGAACGACTGAGATTAAAACCTTCAAAAAGTCTCCTCTTTATCTAGTGATGGAAGAAATTTTGCGTGCGTGTGTGTGCGCGTGCGTGCGTGTGTGTGTGTGTGTGCGCGTGCGCGTGTGTGTGTGCGTGCTTGTGTGTGCGCGTGCGTGTGTGTGTGTGTGTGCGCGTGCGCGTGTGTGTGTGCGTGCGCGTGCGTGTGTATGTGTGTGTGCGTGCGTGTGCGTGTGTGTGTGTGAGTACTTACCTAATTGTACTCACCTAATTGTGGTTGCAGGGGTCGAGACTCAGCTCCTGGCCCCGCCTCTTCACTGATCGCTACTGGGTCCTCTCTCTCTCTGCTTCCTGAGCATTGTCATACCTCTTCTTAAAACTATGTATGGTTCCTGCCTCCACTACTTCACTTGCTAGGCTATTCCACTTGCTGACAATTTTATGACTGAAGAAATACTTCCTAACGTCCCTGTGACTCGTCTGAGTCTTCAGCTTCCAGTTGTGACCCCTTGTTCCTGTGTCCCCTCTCTGGAACATCCTATCTCTGTCCACCTTGTCTATTCCCCGCAGTATCTTGTATGTCGTTATCATGTCTCCCCTGACCCTTCTGTCCTCCAGTGTCGTCAGTCCGATCTCCCTCAACCTTTCCTCGTACGACATTCCCCTGAGCTCTGGATTAGCCTTGTTGCAAACCTTTGTACTTTCTCTAACTTCTTGACGTGCTTGACCAGGTGTGGGTTCCAGACTGGTGCTGCATACTCCAGTATGGGCCTAACATACACAGTGTACAGTGTCTTGAACGATTCCTTATTAAGGTATCGGAACGCTATTCTCAGGTTTGCCAGGTGCCTGTATGCTGCAGCAGTTATTTGGTTGTGTGCCTCCGGTGATGTGCTCGGTGTTATGGTCACCCCAAGGTCTTTCTCCCTGAGTGAGGTCTGTAGTCTTTGTCCACCTAGCCTATACTCTGTCTGCGGTCTTCTTTGCCCCTCCCCAATCTTCATGACTTTGCATTTGGCTGGATTGAATTCGAGAAGCCAGTTACTGGACCACATGTCCAGCCTCTCCAGGTCTCATTACAGTCCTGCCTCATCCTCATCCGATTTAATTCTTCTCATCAACTTCACATCTGCGAACAGGGACACTTCAGAGTCTATTCCTTCCATCATGTCGTTCGCATATATCAAAAATAGCACTGGTCCTAGAACTGACCCCAGTGGGACCCCACTCGTCACAGGCGCCCACTGTGATACCTCTTCACGTACCATGACTCGTTGCTGCCTCCCTGTCAGGTATTCCCTGATCCATTGCAATGCCCTCCCTGTTACATGCGCCTGATCCTCCAGCTTCTGCACTAATCTCTTGTGGGGAACTGTGTCCAAGGCCTTCCTGCAGTCTAGGAAAACGCAATCTACCCACCCCTCTCTCTCGTGTCTTACTTCTGTTACCTTGTCATAAAACTCCAGGAGGTTTGTGATACAAGATTTGCATTCCATGAACCCATGCTGGTTTTCATTTATAATCTTGTTCCTTTCCAGGTGTTCGACCACTCTCCTCCTGATAATCTTCTCCATGACTTTGCACACAATACATGTCAGAGACACAGGTTTGTAGTTTAGCGCAGCATCTCTGCTCCTTCTCTAAGGACCCATGGGGAGATGTCCGATCCCATCGCCTTTGAGGTTTTCAAGGTCACTTAGGAGCTTCTTCACCTCCTCCTCAGTTGTTCGTATGTCATCCAACACTTGTTGGTATATTCCCTCTTGATGTTCCCTTCTGTTCTGTCTTCCCACAGCCCTTCCTGTCTCTACTGTAAAAACTTCCTTAAATCTCCTGTTCAGCTCCTCACATACCTCCTGATCATTTCTTGTGAGTTCTCCACCTTCTGTCCTTAATCTGATCACCTGGTCTTTGACTGTTGTCTTCCTCCTGATGTGGCTATACAACAGTTTCGGGTCAGTCTTGATTCTCGATGCTATGTCATTTTCATACTGTCGCTGGGCCCCCTCCTTACTGTGCGTACTCATTCCTGGCTCTGCGACTGATCTCCCTATTTTCGTGTGTTCTCTGCCTTCTGTACTTTTTCCATTCTCTATTGCACTTTGTTTTTGCCTCCTTACACCGTCGGGTGAACCAGGGGCTTGTTCTGGTCTTCCCGTTGTTACTGTTGCCCTTGGGAATGAACCTTTCCACTGCCTCCTTGCATTTTGTTGCTACATATTCCATCATTTCATTTACTGGCTTTCCTGCCAGTTCTCTGTCCCACTGGACCTCCCGCAGGAAGTTCTTCAACCCTATGTAGTCCCCTCTTTTATAGTCAGGTTTTTTCCATTCTACTCCTGTTATTCTCTCCACTTGCAGCTCTACTATGTATTCAAAGCACAGAGCCACGTTGTCGCTAGCTCCTAGGGGACTCTCATACTTGATGTCTTCAATGTCTGAGCTGCCCAGGGTGAACACAAGGTCCAATCTTGCTGGTTCATCCTCCCCTCTCACTCTGGTAGTGTCCTTAACATGTTGGTGCATGAGGTTTTCCAGCACCAAGTCCAATATCCTGGCTCTCCATGTTTCGGGACTCACATGTGGCTCCAGGTTTTCCCAGTCAATCTCCCTGTGGTTGAAATCCCCCATGACCAGAACTTTGCTCTGCTGGAGTGAGCTCTTCTTGCCACCTCAGCAAGTGTGTCCACCATTGCTCTGTTGCTCTCTTCATATTCCTCTCTTGGCCTCCTGCAGTTCTGTGGTGGATTATACATCACTGCAATGACCACTTTGTGTTCCCCAGACTGAAGTGTACCTACTATGTAGTCTCTTTCTCCCGTCTCATCTATGCGTTCCATTTTCTCGAATTTCCATCTGTTTTTTAAGAGCAGAGCAACCCCACCTCCCCCCCTGCCCCTTCTATCTTTCCTCATGATCTGGTATCCTGGTGGGAAGATTGCATCTGTTATTGTCTCAGTGAGTTTTGTTTCTGTAACTGCTATTATGTCTGGGGACTTCTCATTGATTCTTTCTTGCCATTCCTCATGTTTATTCGTTAATCCATCTGCATTTGTGTACCAAACCTTCAACTTCTGTTCTAATACTGTAACTGTGGTGCGGGGGTGGAAACAGAGGGATCGGTGTGTGATGGTTGGTTTGGATTGTTCAGTTGCCTTGGGGGTGTCGTGGCTGGAGTCCTTCTGCAGGTGTTTCTGGGGGGTGCGCTTGTCCTTCCATTTGATCCTGGGTTATTCTGCTCTCCTTTTTCATTTCCTCCCATTTCTCCTTTCGTTTTTGAACTCTCTCTTTCATTGTCTTCCTTTCGTCCTGTGTTCTGTCTCGGTCGAGGTACACACTCCGGAACTCCTGCTTGCCTCTCAGCCGTGCTTTCTCCTGCAGGATCATGGTTCGGGTTGATTCTGCCTTGAAAATTACTTTGAGAGGCCGATTCCTTTTCTTTGTGAACCACCCAATTCTCCGAAAATTTGCCACCTGGGTCATGTCCCCCTCGCTTATCACCTTCATGTCTTCAATCGCTTTTTTCTCCTCCTGCTTTCTTTCATCATAAGTTTCCCCTTTAGCTTCGTCTAGCCCATAGACAAACACGGATCTCTCCCTTTCCACCTCCCACTGTGACTCCCATTGCATCCTCTGATGTGTTTTAGTTCCTTCCCGTGGAGTGTTCCTTCCTTCAGTCCCTTCCCTCTTTATGGCCCCTATGCTTCTTGGTTTATCCTTCCTGCTCACCTGCTCCTGGCCCCCACAGGTATCTGGTAAGGTCCTTGCACATGTCCTAGTTCCTTCGATGTCTTCCAACCTCTCTTTCTGTCCTAGAGTGCTCCCTGTCTTTGTTTTGGCCCCATGTGGGTTTGACAGGACCTCTGCATACAGTTTAGTTTCCATGCTTCCTTCGGACCTGTTGTCTGTGTTCGATGTAGCCATTGCCGATCCTACTTCTGTAATATCTTTGTCTCTGTGCTGTTTCAGATGTCTCAGCTCCTCTTCTAATCTCTCTATCTTGATTTCTGCTTCTGTGCCTGTTGCTTCCACCTTCTGCATTCTGCTGCTAACCTCTCTTCCATCTTCCTTTCCAGCTCATCTAGTCTCCTTCCCCAGTCTTCCTCCCTTTTTTTGAG